TCACTCTGAGAAGATTCTCTCTCTCTCTCTCTCTCTCTCTCTCTCTCTCTCTCTCTCTCTCACACACACACACACACACACACACGTATAAGAACTCCATGCCTCAGCCACCCAACACTTTGGAAGCACCTTTGTATTTCATACGGGGTGGAGAAAATCATCTTGGGGGACTACTTGGAATAGACTGTAGTTTTCATTATTGCTCTTAATCCTTAGTTGTAAATCTATGATTAAGTTCTCCACCGTTCTCACCCAAATTCTCTTAGGATCCCTTGCTCTTGGCATGATTAGACAAACCATATAGCACACCTTTATCTGAATTTGTCATAGTTTATATTTAAGGTAGGGGAAATAGAGTAACTTACAAAGGTGAACACCCAGCAGCCCCATCCTCTCTGTGGCTCAGTGGCCCACCGTTCCAGATCACTTCCACAGGTGGCCCACAGTCTCCATTAGCTTTCGCCCAAGCCTCGTGGGCCGCAGTCTCACCCCAGGTCTGTAAATAACTACCCCTCTCACGTCCACGCCAGCGAAACACCAGGGCCATCCCCCACCCTCTCCCTGCACTGCTTGCTTCCAAGATGGCACCAACGTCCTCCCTCTCCTGCTAACTCTCCATATAGCTCCCTCTTCGTTGCTAAATCTCCACAGCCAACTCTCCACAGCAGGCCCCCCACCCCTCAGAGGAATAAGTGCCTCTTGGGACACAACAGTGTAAGTGAAGAAACGGATGCTAATAAGGGGAAGCAAACTTCCCAAGCCTGATCAATGGAACCAGTAAATGGTAGTCAGAATATGAACTTGGATCTACCGGATTGTACTGATTTTATTGCCTAGTTTGCCACACAGATTCACTAAGACCTCAGAAGAAATATGATTAAGGAACTTATCTTTGAAACCTGAGTTCTTTTGTGTTCAACTATGCCTGTTATGCAGACATGGAAGTAGAAATAGTAATTTTTTTTGTCTTTCTAGGGGATAAATGGAAAAGATGGATTACCAGGTGCTCAGGTACAGAAAATATCATTTAAAATAGTATGGGTTTTTAAAAATTCTAATGCATAAGTGTGTTATGAATGCCTTCTAGAAATCAGATCAATCAGACTGGTAATCTTGGCAAGCAGTGGTTTTTAGTGTTGGCATCTGTTTTTCAGGGCATCATGGGTAAACCTGGAGACAGAGGACCCAAAGGAGAACGTGTATGTATATTATTAGTGTGATTGCTGTTTATTTCTCTCTGGTGCAACTATCCATCATTTAGATTGCATAATTAAGCATGGGGCCATGTCTTCCAACATGACATGGTTAGGGTATATGTGAAACAAGATCACTACCAGGTATAAAATGTGACACCTATAAAACACAGAAGCAATTCGTGTGGTAGATGCACCTGGTGACTGGCTTCTTACATTACAAGACTATTTTTTATTCCAGTTTGAAATGCTTTTTACCACCTTTCTGTCTGAGACACATACACCAGCTATAACCCACACCCAGATTCTTTTTACCTATAAGAAGTTTCTCATCCACAACACTGTTGATACTTGAGGGCAGATAATTTTTCATTAGGTTTGGCTGTCCTGTGTGTAATAAAATATTTAACAGCATCCCTGGCCACTTTCCTGTTGATGTAGCACCACCATCCCTCCAAAAGTCACAGCCTAAAGTCACTTCAGACAATACCTAATGCCTTCTGGGGAGCAAAACTGCCCTGCCTGAGAACACTGACCCAGAGGAACAGTAAGTTGAGTAAGGAAGGTAGTGTGAGGGAGCAGAGAAGTAGAAAGGGGAGCTGAATACAAGGTGAAATTATTACACATGCCAGTTGTGGGATGCACTTTTATTTGAATTGTGTGGGTTGCTGATAATGTTATTGAAACTTGCCATTAATGAGTCTTAATATTTTCCAGTAGGACTGGTATCATGTCCATGGAGCAAGTTATTCAAGCCTTGCTTCTTTGTATATTCTACTTAGGGCTGTCATTATGAGTGTGGTCACGTATGTGTTCGTATACTAGCTTCTAATTTATTTGTTGTTTTTATTACACGAGTAATCCACCATAACTGAAGGAAATACGAAAGACAAACAACATAAACTTAAGAAAAAAGTCTTCTAGGTCTCCCTACACATGGATAAACATTTAATATTTTGAACATATTTCTGTCACTCTTATGCATAATATACACATATACATATCAATATGAATATAACTGTTTTGTAAACTGTTTTTTTCACCTGGCAATATGAAATAACTATCTTCTCCTTTTAGTGGCTGTATATTATTTGCTTTAGTGCATATGACTTACTTCACTTACCCATTTTCTTTTTCTAAGCATTTTTCCATTTTTCACAAAATAATAAACACTGCAAACATCTTTGTACATAATTTCAATTTTTACATTTTTTATTTGTCTGATGTGTGTGGGTGGTGTGTGTGGTATGTGTGTATGTGTGTGGTGTTGTGATATATTCATGTGGTCTGTGTGATGTGTGTGTGGTGTGTAATGTGTTTGTGTTGTGGGTATGTGTTTTCTGTGTAGTGTGTGTGTGTATGTGTATGTGGTGTGTAGTGTGTATATGGTGAATGGTGTGTGTGGTATATGTGATGTGTGTGTGTATGGTGTATGTGATATGTGTTTGTGGTATGTGTGATGTGTGTGTGTGTGTGTTGCAAGTGTGCCTTGGCGGTATGGAGGTCAGAGAACAACCCAGGAGTTGCTTCTCTCCTCCCCCATGCAGGTGCTAAGGATGGAATTCAGCATGGCCGGCCCAGCAGCAGGTGCCATTTACCCACTCAGTCATCTCACCAGCCCCATAACACAAAATTTTAATACTACACCTGATCAAAAATACTCTCATAATGGATCAAAGTATTTTTGTTATCTCCTTGTCTCCAGGCATGAGCTGAGCTGAGATGTTTACAGATACACTTTATAAAGCAGAGCACTGACGTTGGAAGTTTCTCTTTTCTTTCTACATGGCTTCTCTCTTCTGTATCTTTTATGTGCCACAATCATATTAATCTCTGCAATCGTTCACTTACTTTCATTATTTTTAAAATTTGTATTTAGTATTTTTATTTTATGTGTATGAGTGTATTGCCTGCATGTATGTAAGTGCACCTGCAGGAGTCAGAAGGGGCATAGGATCCCCTGATACTGGAGTTACAGAAGGTTGTTAGCCATCATGCGGGTGCTAGGCATCAAACCTGGGTCCTCTGTAAGAGTAACCAGTGCTCTTACCCGCTGAACTATCTCTCCAACCCCTTCATTATCTTTTAAACCAAGACAAATACAAATCGACCTTTTGCAGATTGTTACAAATAAAGGAATAACATGCTAAACTGAGGGCCGCCTCTAGCAGCAGTACATCACATTTAGTGTAGACCTCGCCTCCTAAAGTTGTACAACTGAATTTTAAAATCTATAACTGAAACGCCAGCCACAATGTCTTTCTCTCTTCCTGATTTGTACACACATGGTAGCAGACTCATTGCTGAACAAAGGCAGCATTTCGAGCTCTGTTAAAAAATTAAGGCACATCTAGTGCCATCTGATTTCCAATTTATTCTGACATCTTCACATTCAACAAATTCTTACAGTTAGTTCACCTACGATGTTGAGCACCCTGTCTCAGAGACAGCCCTCCCCTCTAGGCACCTGCTTTGAACCTTCAAAAGCTCTCTTTTCTTGCTTTCCTGGGTGATATGTATTTTTCATGACTGAACACACATGCACACAAATACACAGAAGTACAGAAAAAAAAAAAAAAACACCAAAGAATCTAATACAGGCCATAAGGGAATGCAGAGGGGATATAACAATATGAGTTAGGACACATTTTCAGTTTTTCTAGGTGAAGAATCTCAGTGATGTTCTCCTCTTGGCAATCTTCCTTTATTATTGCAAAGGAGACCCAGGCCCTAAAGAGACAATGGGTGTTGACTTCCAAAAATGCACCATTCTAGACTGAATGAAGAAGACTGTCATTGTCACTAGGAGTTGCACACTGAGTGCTTCTGAGGGGTCAGACATTGTTCTAATCACTGCACTTGGGTGTATTCATTTCTCAGCACTGCCCTACCTAACAGATACTACAAATGTCCCCACAGTCTAAGAAAGCAAGCTGAGTACAGGGATGAAGTTACTTGTCCAAGAACCTACAGTGGATAAGTGCTAGTATAAATCCAGAACATGTATTCAGCCACAGTTGATGTGATTCTAGAACAGTTAATTCCTTATTTCTTTCTCCCCTAACAGGGTGATCAAGGAATCCCAGGAGACAGAGGTCCACAGGGTGAACAGGGAAAACAAGGCCTTACAGGCATGAAGGGAGCTGTAGGTCCTGTGGGGCCACCAGGAAGCAAGGGCTCCATGGGCTCCCCTGGCCGCCCAGGCCCTCCAGGCTCTCCAGGCACTCCTGGCACTCCAGTAAGTGGGGCGTCTGGTGGGTATTGACTTTTTTATAATGAAAGCCATGAAGATCCTCCTTAAATTTATAAAATAAACTGATCTGTGTCACTCTTTAAAGTTATGTGCCAGGTCCTCTGTTGACCCCTCCATTACTTCCTTACACCTTCACAGTCAATCTGGAAGAGTAGATCCCCATTCCCTGTTGCATTTATAAATGCAGAAGCCAAGTTGATTTGCCCAAGATCAGAGAACTGTTAAAAGGACCAAACCCAGGCCTGGCTGACTCCAAAAACATTTGATTTAGAGTATGGGTTTGGTTTGGGGTTTGGTTTTATTTGAAACAGTGTCTTGTGGTAAAGTCCACACTATGCTGGAACTCATGGTCTCCCTGCCTCTGCCTCTCAAGTTCTGGAATTACAGGTGTGTGCCACCATGCATGCCCAAAACCACGCTTTTAAAATACTGTCTGTCACACCTCCTTATACAATCATATGCATCTCCTTTACAATGGAACTCTAATTTGTTGAACATCAGAATAAGTCTACCCTGAATATTGCTTTGGAGTAGGGATTACTTAGGTAAAGAAAGGGCAGCTCATATCTTACTAATATATCTCAGGAGGAGTGTTGGATGGCTATTCTGTAGTGGAGTTTAGTCTGAAATATCCATGACAGGAACAAAGGAGGATCCTGGGGGGACGTAGGAGCATTAACATGCTGTCCTCAAACCAATGCAGACCCCATGAAAAAACTAGGCATTCTCACATCCTTCCTATTTCTTTATTTTTACCTCATCCCTGAACTGTTCTTGAAAAAAGCATATAAAACTTGAATTCTCAGAGCCAGCTATTAGTATTATGCACATTTGTTCAAGTTCAATTTTCTATGCACATTAAATACCGGGTAACAGGGAAACCTTAGAATTCATCTGTCTAATAGAAATCACCACCTTTGAGCCCATCACATTGTCTTTTGCTTTTTGCATTCTAAATGAATTTATTGTTGTAACGGACTAGCACTGTAATATTGATAGGAAACCTCAAAATGTTACCATCACATACACAGGTATAACATGAAAACAAAGTGAAAGAATCTAAAATGAAAAATGATGGGGAACCTACCAAGGCAGGGACTTTTACAAATTAAGGATCACTGTCTAATTATAGAGAAGAATTGGAGCCATGCTGAGTTTGAAACTCATGGCATGGAGATTTCCCATAGAGCTTTTGAGTCCCTTGTCTAGCCACATTGCATTACATTACACTTCGTCACGCACATCTCTAAATGCATAACTGGCAGTGGGGGTAGGTCCTTGTGTCACAACCACTGATGTGTATTCACTGTGTTATTGTCATCACCACATATAGACCCTCAGACAATAGCCAACAAATACAGAGAATAGTAATGAAACACTTTGAAATCCTAACCATCTTGGAAATGAGCTCCTTTTCAAAGATCTCAAGGTACTGCAGCAAAACATTCCTATTTATAAATGCTGGGTTCTTGTCATAGAGTTAAAACTGGCACCATTTGCCCACTCCTATTACCAGGTACCAGAAGGAAGTTTCTATTCAAAGAACTTGGCTTAACATATTTATGCTCACAATATGTAAATTACAGAACAAACTTTAGCATGACTTGGACAAAACATGAATAAAATATTTTAGAGGATGATCCTGAATATCTAGAATTCTCTCTGGGTTTTCTCTCTTTGGAGCCCATGGTATCAGCCATACTGGTATGGGCTTTACCAGTATTCAGGGATAGGTTAGATGTTAACTTGTGATTATACACTAACACCTTCTTAGCATTGCCTGGACTATTTAACTTTATAAAACAATGTAACAGAAACTAATTTCCTAATTATATAAAGTCTTGTTTCTCCATGAATAGAAGAAATGTTAGAATCACTAGTTATGATCCCAGCCCACAGCTTTTAAAGCAGCTATGCACTTGAGCTTATTCCCACCATTTAATTAAAATGTCCTTATTAGCCAATATGACCCATTGCCAGAAGCATTTTGCTTGATAAATCTGTGTCTACCTAAGTATGCCAAACCTAGTATTTCTGTTCTTACTCATTTGTGCTCTGTTTTAACAGACGTTTCTTTTCCCTTCTTTAGGCTGATGCTGTTTCATTTGAAGAAATAAAAAAGTATATTAATCAAGAGGTTCTGAGGATTTTTGAAGGTTTGTTTTTATAACATTCCTGAACTTTTCACTGATTCCTACATCCCACCTCCATGGGGACTCCCCTCAGTGACATTCTTGAAAGATAGCTTTGACAGAAACCTTAACAGACCAATCTTAGAAGAGGCAGCTCCTTTTGAAAGATGTCTTCCTTAAGCTAAGTTAAATTTCTCTCTTGAACTTCCTTTCATCATCTCTTGTCTGTTAAACAACACAGGTAAGGTATCTTCAAGTCATGCGACTCTCTTTCAAGTATTTTTCAATATTCATCACTCACCACCTTAATTTTTCTCTTCTGTCAAATATGTATGTCTAGCTCTTCCATCCCTGCCACCCTGGGGAGATGCTTAATGGACTCCATTAGTATCTTGACCAAAATGAGTTATAGGGTCTTCTGATCTAGACCAGGGTCAGAAAACTATGGACTCACAGCCACATATGTCACTACAGGTGGATTTTTATATGGCCCACGAGCTTAGAATGGTTTTTAAATTTTTGTTGGAGCGTTTTCCATTTTCCATTTGTTGGAGGGCTGGAGAGATGGCTCAGTAGTTAAGAGAACTGGCTGCTCTTGCCAAGGACCCAGGTTTAATTCTCAGCACCCACATGATGAACAACATCCATAACTCCAGTTTCAGGGGATCCAACACCCTTTTCTGATTTCTGCCAGCATTGCACAGCACAGGTATACTTACACATATGCAGGCAATACACTCATACACATAAAGTAAAAATAATAAATA